CCCGGCAGGTGACAGCCGGTATTTTTGGTTCTTTGGGGCTTGCAAGTTTACTCACCGAGCCCACCCAGCTCGTAGGGAATGGTTCCCGTCAATTCGTTGCCGTCCAGATACAACTTTCCGAGCGAGGGAAAGAGGAACTCAAAAACCCGGCCGGGGATCCTTCCGGTCAATCGGTTGTCGGTCAGCGTGATGGCCCGCAGCACGGTGTCTTCGTCGTCGGAGCCGGTGTTGTAGAGTCTCAACAGAGAAAATTCCGTGGCGATGCTTCCCGAGAGATTGGAATCGTCAAAGTCGAGGTCCACCGGAAGCTCGTGGTGCTGCTCGGCGTGGTGGAGGTGGGTTTGCGCTTKCGGATTGCGGTTGYCSTTGCCCTTGYCCTTGAAGTAGCCGCTGCAGCCCTCCAGGCGCTCCCAGTCGCAGAGCGGTGCATYKGTGAACCACTTCGGGGACGAACGATCTGCCYCCTGGTCCCGACGAAAGATGGTCCACCCGTGCCCGCCCATTTTGAAGTAGATGGAGGCGAGAGCCCACCGCCAGACGGACTCGTTCGGGTCCTTGCGCCGGTCGTGATARAGCAACCAGGCGGTAGCCTTTTGGTTCGGGGTCATGGGGTTCTTCTTGGCGGCCGACGGAGGCATTCCGATGTGTTGGCCGCCGCTGTGGTTGTTCGTGTTGATGCTGTTGCCGTTGTTGTTGCCGGCAATCTGCTGCTGGTCGGTGGTAGTCATGCCGTAGAGGTTCACGAGATCGTCGTTGTCGTCAGACAAGGGCATCACTGCTGGAATCCAATCGCGGTGATCCTCCGAGAAGACCATGCCCTCGACGAGACCCTCGTAGAAGGTCGGATCGGCCGGGAGGACCTCTTCGCCGTCCCCGGAGACCAGGAGGGACTGGGTCAGCGGGTTGTCCCGAATGGCCGCGTAGACCAGTTTCCATTCGTTCTGGACGGASAGCCTGGGGRCGACCACCACGGGTGGAGGAGTGGGTGGTTCTCCGAACGGGGGAGACGCGGAGGGCGTCGAGGGAATGMGTCCTTYGCTGTTTGCGTCGAGGATGCTGCTGCTCTGGCCCTTGATGAGGACGAGTGCCGCGGTCAGGACGGAAATCCCAACAACGAGGAAAAAGATGGATGCCGCCCAGAGCAATTCGCGGTTGGAGATGGCCGTGCCGTCTCCGAAAAYGGTGGTCTTGGTGGTTCGTGGCCCGTTCTTTGCGGCGAGAAGGGCGCTGCTGTCGTCGTGGCCGTCGTCGTGGCCGTCGTCGTCTTCTCGACAGTCGCACCGACCGTTTTCTTCGTCGTCGGTGTGGCTGCTGTGGTCGGTCTTGAGAGTGGCTTCTCCCTTCTTGTCCGGGGAAGGGGAAGGTTTGGCAACCACCGAAGAAGAGGAAGCAAGGCGCTTGATGATTCTCTGGCTGGGAGAATTTCTGGGCAAGAGAACCCCGTCCTTCGTTGGAGTGTTCAACTCAAACTCTTCGTCCGAGCCAGTGGCGATGGAACTCTCGAACTTTTCCTTGCTTGGGTATTCTACCAGGTCCATATCGGGGTCATCGTAATCTTCCAGGTCCATTGCGTAGTCATCGTCGTCGTCGTCGATGTCTTCCATTTGGAAGTGTTGGTAGTCGTTGCCGTAATCGGAAAAGGGGAAAACCTTGGCGGCGGGCTTGCGATCTCCCCATGGGATATCGGAATCGTCCGAGTAGTTCYTGYTGCTGTTGGTGGTGGAATCRGCCTCCGTGTTGCCAAACCGAAAGGAGGACGAGGACAAGGACGAAGCGGATGCCATTGCTCCTARGGTAGGTCGAGGACGGGGAATCGCGGGTGAWAACTTCCGGTTGTYTTCGGAAAAGGAATCCTTTGGAACGTTGCTAGTGGTATTGTCTCCGTACATGGTGACAAATGGKTAATTAATTTGTTACTGTATYGTACCGTAGAGTTACAAACAATTTCTGATCATGTATTTGAAAAGGATTCGCTGAATGTGACAAAAGTRGCGAMTGCTGCTGTTTTGTCTGGGGTTTGACTCGTTTCGGAAGTGCTGCAAATGAAATTATGGCCGGGGCCACGGCATCGATWGTCTAGAGCCGGCAAGATCGAAACAAGAGCAAATCACTTTTTTCCAAGTGTGGTGCCGTGAGCTGCTCTGTCTGTGATTCGTATCGGTAGACCGCATGCTGTTTTGGGCGAGACWGCGGCACTGCACTCTACGCCCAACCACCACGGACCTCGCTCGAAACACGATCGCCACTCTCTTCGTTTGCATACCGGTAGGTAGATAGTACTTTCCGGAAGACCACTCCCGTGATGAACACATTTTGTTTCGGGCAGGCAGCGCGATGGAAAGAGGACGCAGATCCGGGTCCGATCGTACCGTGCGAATAGTATAGTACGAGTAAGTACGTACTGTGCCATGCCAAGTTTCCACGGTCGCACCAAAACCTGTGTTGGATGGTCGCGGGAAAATGAGACGCGACCGACAACCAAGGAAAGGCCGTTCTTTTGTTTCGACGCGGTTGCGTCTGGATGTCTCAAAATTACCTTTTGTACGATAAGAGAGCTATTATTACTTATGACAAGATGAGCAGCACGTCCTCGTAGTGATTCTTATCCTTTGACTAGCCAGGACAGAGTACAGTAAAGGTTTCTTCGTGGCGATACACTGATAGGTATGGTCCGTACCCAAGTACCTACTGGTACTTCTTAGTAGCTTTTTGCTTTTTATTTGCCCCCTTTAGGAGTTGCTAAAATCCCCCCTAAAAGGGTGAAATGCCATATGGTACAGTGGTAACAACGCCAAGATAACCCGTTGAAGAAGAACCTCAAGAGGGTAGATCGAAACCTGCGTTGAAGAACAGATAGAACGAGCTCGAACGAACCGATGTGGCATGAAGACCATTATTCTTGCGAGTACATACTCGTACTTTTTCCCTCTCTTTGAGACCTACGAAGATTWAAAAGAGGACCTCTTGTGATTTAAAAGCAACTTTGAGAAGGCTTAACAAATCACATTTTCGACAWTTTTCAGAGCCGCACTCTGGATACGAAATGCGAATCATCGGTTGCACACCTTTACGGAAAAGTGATATGCACGTGTACTTGTACTACCAAAATAAAAATATCAACACCGGAGAATCATCCATTTGTGTTGGGTTCTTTACTCTATTCATAAGCCCAGGGTCTTTTTTGAAAATTGAAAAGAGACACAAAGAACACGCGAGCGAAGATAGAATGTTGTCTTGACACTAATGATCTGATCGCTTGCAGGCTTGCTAAGTGATCTAATACGCGAGAACACTCTTGAGAAGAAGAGAAGATTTCAGTTCAGAATTTTAAAGAGTACCTAAGTATTCTTTTAATCATTTGGTGCGTAGTGCTCGTACCTGGTACTGCCCGCATCTACCGTCCAAATGTACGGAAGGTTCGGTGACAAAAGGTTCGGTGACACCGATGAAATCTTTTCTCACTCGAAGACGATTACGTGTTATTGCGTGCCCATGCTCCATCATATCGCCCCACTTATTGCACATAAAAACTTTTTCAAGTATTCTACATCGATATATTTCCATCTTGCTACCGATACATTCGTTTTGCACCACCCTTCACTAACACCATGTTCCGATTGACCATTTCCAAAGTTTTCATTGCTGTTCTCGCTGCCATCGCCTCGTATTCCGGTGCAAATGCCGCCGTCGAAGAGGCCTTGGGTACGGCAAGCGAGGCCGTGAATAATGCCATGGGTACGGCAAACGATGCCGTGAATAATGCCATGGGTACGGCAAACGATGCCGTGAGTAATGCCATGGGGGGCGTCGGAGATATCCTCAGCAACTTGAAGGATACGAACGAAACTGACACCGAAGCCGACGCAATTATGGATGAAGCCGAGGCGGATGAATCTTCTTCTGCGGCATACGGAATGTTGGCCGGGGCCGTGTTCTCCGTTCTTGCCACCGTAGTTTCTTTGTAAACAGACGGAATAAGAAAACTCTGTTCGTGGCAATGCAGTCAGCGTACCATACATCTATCGGGTATTCTGTTTCTCTGAAACTGTCGCGTTGGTGTGTGCCTGTCCTTGATGTGCCAAGAAATACCCACCCAAGATCCGCCGTCTTCTACCAAAGTACAGTACTCATTTAAACTAAGCCCGCTATTTGTTGATAACACCGTTGACCACACCAACATTTGATACGTTAACTTAGCGTTCCCAATCCCTCATACAACGTAAATGTGAATTATTATCTTAAACGTAGACCATAATCAAAGACGGATCAAACTCGCCTCCTGCGTATTCAGGGTCCTCCGCATCAATTACTCGTATCAGCAACTAATATCAACATCCTCCCTATCAATTACTCGTATCAGCAACTCATATCAGCGTCCTCCATATTAGTGTCGTCCTTATCAGGTTCCTCCATTGTACCAGCGCCCCGTCCGTTGTCAGTGTCCTCTATATCAGCGTCTCCCTTATCAGCAACCCGTATTAGCATCGTCTGTATCAGCAACTCTTATCAGTATCCTCTGTAAAAGACAACCCGTATGAATTCCGATTGACCCTAGAAACCTGTTCCCAAGCGCATACACAGTTGGGTGTGTATCMAAGGCAAAGCTGAAGGAAAATGAACAGAACTATTATAAATTCGTGGTTGGCAACGGCAAGTATTCGCACAACTCGACAAATAGACCCGGATCAGGGGATATAGCTACCTTAAGCTTCGTCATCGATGAATTTTAGAACACGCAATCCTAGAAAGCCGGCATGAGTGCGTGTGCGTGTGTGTATACACTAGCATTTTGTCCTACGAGTACCCACTGGTGCGTCCGGCGCCGTTCAAAACCTATTCAACACCGAAACCAGCCCCGAGGACGAGAACCGCAACAGTTCACGAGCAGCCAAAAAGCACTACTACGGCTGTCGAGCCAGAGCGACCATTCGCACGTTCCGGATGTMAAGCTGCCTCCTGTTTATTTCCTCATCACCAACTACGGGTGACTCGCAGCGCAGTAGCCCTTGGCCGCGTCGCCCGGGCCACGTTCGGGCGGAACCCGGATGACTGCTTTACTAACAAGCGTCCGTATTCAGCGGCCTCTATACCCAGTTCTCCTCTCCGTAGCTGAGCTATGTCCAGTGTCCCCCTCATACTTACTACTATTCAGCATCCCCCTCCTCCAGCTGCTTGATGGATTTGCACAACCAATACTGACGTAATTTTAGACCATTACGCCCTCCGTGTCAGGAGCTCTTCCATACGAGCAACTCCTCCTATTGTATCAGAATCTTCCGTATCAGCAGCTCCTCCATATTTTCGATATTTTCGGCATCTCCTCGTATCATATCAGCATCCTCCGTATCAGCATCATCTATTTTGGCAATTCTTACCGTATCAGCAGCATCCTCTGTATAAGTATCGTCCTATCAGCCACTTCGTATCTATTAAAAATTCGTACCACCATCACCAACTTGCATCAGCATCCTACACATCAGCATCAAAATGTATATCCTTCGTACCACCATCCTCCGTATCACAAACTTGTATCAGCATCCTCCTCCTCTGTGATGCCTATCAGCAGGATTCACACTATTACTACTAGCAACTCGTATTGGCATACTATCAGCAACTCGGCAACTCAGCAAATCATTGTGTGCCACCACAACAACCTTCTTTATTATTTTCAGTGATATGCCGCATCGTATTTCCGTGTCTAATATGTTTGATCACATCATCAAGCATCATGTCACAAGCTTGAGGACAATTCTTCCAGAACGTTTTGCGAATGTTCCGAAGCATAGCTAAGTACTCGTACTCATTCTCTATGCAACTGAAATTGCACTTTCATTATTGCCTAATCGGCAAGATCATACTTTGATTATTGCCTTATCGCCAAGATGATTCCCAGCCTTTGAGWTAGTGTAGTTACAAAAATTCTCACATGAAGAAACTGGTGTCAAGAAGACTTAAAAGTTTAGTAAAATGTCGAGGAAAGTTCGAACCTGCAGTAAAGAACATAACGAAAGAGCTCGAATCTAAGTGAACAAAAAATATAATATTACTCTTACATTACTAYGGTAGGGTAGAAAAGAGGACCTCTCGTTATTGCGAAAAGTTACTTTACAATGGTTTAAAATATATTGCTTTCAATCAACGTACGGTAGGAAACCGTCGGTGTCCTACCGTACTTTCACAGAAGAATTTTTTTTATGGCCATACCAAAATATCATTAGAATCGCTGTCAAAGCATTGATATTTATTGTATCGTATTTGAATTTCTCTTAAATACCAGAACACTCTTTRAAAGAAAAGATATCCTTTTGGAACCTCTGTTTCAACAAGTTTACCGTGAAGTACTTACKTATGATAACGTACTCGATTGAATTGTTCTTTTAAGAAGCTTAGGTGACACCGATGAAATCTTTTTCATCCGTAGACAGAAATTCTCTCTCTTTTGTCAATAAGGAAACGTAGTAATTACTGTTTCACGCACTTCCTCAACAGAAACATATTATCGCTCATAAGAAACATTTCCTCGGTTTAATATTTCGATACCTTTCCATTKTTCCACCGATCCCTTTGCTTCGTACCAATCTTCACCGACACCATGTTTCGATTGACCATTTCCAAAGTTTACATTCTTGTTCTCGCTGTCATCGCCGCGTCTTCCGGGGCAAAGGCCAATTCTGCCACTGACGCCATCAATAATGCGAACGAATCCGTGAATGAGGCATTGAATAATGCGAACGAATCCGTGAATGACGCAATGAATACGGCAAACGAAGCCGTGAGCAATGCAAACGATTCGGCAAACGAGGCCATCAATAATGCCAACGAAGCGACAAACGAGGCCATCAATAATGCCAACGAAGCGACAAACGAGGCCCTCAACAATGCAAACAATGCCGTCGATGAAGCTATTGGTAACATGCAGGATACGAACTCAACAAGCGAAGCTTCAGCTGCTGAGGGYGTAGATGAAGCAGAATCGTCTTCTGCGGCATATGGAATGATGGCTGGGGCTGTGTTCTCCRTTCTTGCCACCGTAATTTCTTTGTAAAGAGACCGAGTAAAGTCTTTTCATCGTTGTGTTTGTTCGGAGCTCATGGCACATGGTATTATCGTCAGTATGTCATGCATGAATCAGGGTTTCTGTTTCTCTCCAACTGACGCATGCGTGCATGTGTGCCTGTCCTTGATGTGCCAAGAAAGACCCACCCGAGATCCGTCGTGTTCTACCGAAGTACCAATTTAAACTAAGCCCGCTATTTGTTGATCACATCGGAGCATTTCCATACACCACTTTTTTTCAACTGTAAACAATAGAACTTGTTCAACAAACGAACAGAGGATTGCAATACAGCTTCCTAGTGTTGATTATTGCGAGTATTTGAACGAACAATGATTGGGGAAGGGAAAATTATGGGATCMCAGTGGTTCCTTCTCCTCTGTTATTATACAGCAATCCGAGTATCGAAACATTAATTTATTCTCCTTTTCGCAGTAGTACTATTTTTTCTTAGCGACGATAAACTTGCGGTCTAAGGTACCGTACTATTGAATTCATGCAAAACTCACTACCACTCAAATCCTGTTTGGTGCAAAAGGTAGGTCCTGATCTCTTTAAAAATACATCCAAAGATCTGCAGTACGAAACTTGTTGCAGAAGCCGAGCATTGAAAATTGACCGACTAACATTTTGGCTCCCGATCTCAAGCAAGCCGTTGATGAGTACAAAGTATTTCGTACGCAAAAAGTACAGAGCCTGGGGCCGAATTTCTACAGCCCGTGYATCTTTCCATTGCCCCTTGAATCCGGTTCCCACAGACACGCAGCCGTGAGTGTATCCAAGGCAAAGCTGACGGAAAAAGACCTGCACTTGTTCAATATCGTTGTTGGCAGCGGCTTAAATATTCGTACATCTCGAGCAATGGCGCCGGGTCAAGGGAGAAAGGCTAACCCGAAGCATGGCAATCGATGAACCTTTGGACGCCCGTTTCGAGAAAACCGGAATGTGTATGTGTGTGTGTGTGTGTGTGTATGTGTGTGTGCGGACGTGCGGACGTGCGTGCGTGCATGTCCTGGCATTCTGCACAAGGATTGCGTACGAGTACCCATCGGAGCGTCCGGCATGGTTCCAGAAGCCAGCCCCGAGATCGAGATCCGYAGCCAGCCCCGGGCGTTCCAAAACCTCTTTCCTTCGGCATTTGGAGCTAGAGCGACTCGCCGTCCGTTTCGGAAGCCACTGCCGACCGTCGTTTGCTTCGATTTGSTCTKGTGTCCYCCTCMRCACCGGCTACGGTTGGCTCGCGCGTTCGGGCGGCTCCCGGACGATCCGCTGGCCGTCCCACCCGGCGGGGATYGCGATGCTCCCGGAAAAGGCCAGGGAGGGCCGGCTTCCGTCGTCGTTTCCCTCCCCCGAGGGCCGGGGCCCCCGCTCCAGCATGGCGTTCCCCCGGAGGGGCCAGAGCCGGCAGACCACCCGGCCCGTGATCAGCGCGGCCGGAACGGCCCCGTAGTTCCTCGAGTCGTTCGAGTTCCACGGGTTGTCCCCCTCCACCCAGACGTGGCCGTCGGGGACCTCGGTGCCGCCCGCACGGCGGACCGCCCTGCGGATCCGGCGGCGGCGCTGGGCCACGGTCTCGCCGGCCGGGCCGGCCGATGCGCCGCCGTGGAGGGCGTCCAACAGCTTCTCGGCCCCCAGCCGGCTCGACGGCTTGGCGATTACGTCCCCCGGGAGGCCCACCACCCGCTTGCAGACGGTTCCGATCCGATCGGGGTGCTGGAGGACCACCACGTCCCCCACGGWGATCCCRGTCGAGAGGCGCTCCCGAAACCGGTCCCAGGCCCCCTCCGGCGGGAGCTTGTCGACGGGGATCCGCGGCTCGTACCAAACACAAGGTGCCGCGTCCCCACCGGAGGGAGGTCCTCCCGGCGGCGAGTCGCTCTTCGAGCTGCCGATGGCCGCACCATCGCTTCCGTGGGCAGGGTTGGTTGGCCCCRCTGGTTTCGACTSGGTCCGGGTATCTCCTTGTTTCGGAGAGCCCGCCCCGGTTTTCGTGTTCGTGTTCGTGTTCTCCCCCTTCTCCTCCTCCCTTTCGCGGTGGTACCGCAGGAGCCGCTCCCTCCGGAGGTCTCGTTCGTGTTTTTCCTGGGCGGCCCGGCAGGCTTCGGTTCGCCCCCTAGCCGAGTCCCCGTTCGACAGCCCCCACAGGCGCGGCGTCAGCCGGTCCATCAGGACGATTTCTCCGCAGGGCCGGATCGTGGGCAGCATGGAGGGCCCCTCGCAGACCGTCCACTCGATGCCGTACTCGGTGACCGCGTAGACGATCCCCAGCGAGCAGGCCAGCCGGCGCAGGAGGGCCCCGAAGTACGACGACGAGGAGGTGGACTCCGGGTCGCCGCTTCCGGAAGCGGCGGCGGCTTCGGTGGCGATCCGCGACGACGGCGCGGCCGTTGTTGTTGTTGTTGCTGTTGCTGACGAAGGTGGTGCTGCTTCCGCTGGTACCGGGGATTCCCGCGGGGTGGCCGACGAAAAGGGCCGGAGACGGACCCCCGGATTCGGGGGCGCGAAGAACCCTAGCGGGGGAAAGCCTTTTTTCGTTCGGTCAAGGAAGTACGAGTGCCTCGCTCCCCGCAGCGGGCCACGGCAGTGGCTGTTGCGACGGGTTGTCCTTGTCGCCGGTGGGGTGCCGCGAMACAGCCGCATCCCGGCGAGCGATSCCGGCAGAGAGCGTGCCCCTTGCATGGACTKTTTCGGARAGCGGCTTGGCGTGGATGGAATACGGCGTCGTCTGCTTCGCTTGGCTTGGTTGTGCGTCAAATGGCGACGARTGMAAGCATYCTTCCTGTTCCCGCATTCCAACACCTCGTTTCCTACCACTCGATTTTCACGAAACTCGGCAGAGGAAAAGATTGTGTCACGTTTTGGGGGAGGAGACGATACAACGTACCATGCATACGAACACACATCATGTATGATATGACACATAAATGGTACGGTACTGTATTGATCTCCATCTTCCTTCTACCGGTACGTACTAACCTTGGCGATCAGAAAATAGAAAATGGAAAATGCTCTGCGGCTTGAAGTACATACGGAAGGTATGTAAGATATGTACGATACGATAAATGAGGAGCACGGTTTTTCAGTTTTCAACGTCTAGAAAAATGACGGGTCATTCTGTACCACCGTTCCCAACGCCTCACGACTGAAGCAGACGGGATTTATTATGCATCGAGACGAGTGGTACGAGTACGCGTATGTGTGTCTACGAACTGTATTTGTTTTTGCTTTTGCTTTTGCCTTTGCCTCTGCAATTCGAACCCCTGCCGGTGTTTCCAAGAGTGCCTCGGGCATTGCAACCAAACGAATCCTCTCGACTCGCATGGCACTGCGTGCTTCTGCTTCTGCTTTTGCTTCCCTTTCGAGTCCCGAGAGCCTTCGAAGACCGCTCGCTGCCCCCGCCCGCTAAAGCGACGACGCCGGGGGTGAAGACACACCCGTTCCGCAATGAACTACAGAGACGGAGGGGATTGCGACGATCCCCGGGCGGCCCCTCCGGGCAGCGTTTGGGGGAAGGAAGGGCCGGACCGCTACGAGGACGSCCCMGTCAACCAGGGCCTCCTGTCGGGAAAGCGAAAGACCGTCCACCCGCACTACCGGCACGGGGGGACGGTCGATCCAGGCGAGTGGAAACGGCCGTACTGGCTGGGCGCCGGCCTGTTCCTGATCCTCTTTGCCTTTTGGCTGCTGGACAGCCTGAAGGACCCCGTCTTTGTCCGTCTGGTGGACGGGAAGATCAGCGAGCACCAGCCGCCCGCCAAGCTCTGCAGCGTGCTRGTGACGCTCTGCCTCGTCTGCCTCCTGGAGTTCTGGACGAACCACCGGCAGCAGAGGCAGCGGGCCGCCCTGCGCGAGGCCGAAGCGGAGGYGACGGGGGACGAAGCGGTGCTGGACCCCGGGGGGGTCTGGAAGAGGATCCGGATCGCGTCGTCGAGCGGTGGCGAACGCGAGCGGGGGACCCCCGAGCAAGCCCCGGACGACACCGTGTCCTTTGACATTTTCTATTGCATCGGGGTTCCCTACCTGCTGGCCTTTTCGGTGCTGGCCTATTTCGTGTGGACCTTTGAGCAGCACGAACACGAAGAACGAGAAGCCATGCTCGCGGCCGCGGCAGAACCAATCGCGACGACGGCTACGGCGGGTGGCGGCGGGGGAACGATACGGAAGCTGTCKACAGCGATGCCGACCGAAAGCGACAACAACAACAACRACGACACCAGCGSCGAAAACCCCACGGCCTGCTACGTGCTGGGATACGTCCTGTACGCGACCGTCGAGTCCTTTGGGTCGCTGGCGGTCGCCGCCTTTTGGTCCTACACGAACTCCACCCTCAGCCTGCGCGACGCGGAGCGCTACTACGGGCCCGTCATCGCCACGGCCCAGCTGGGGGCCGTCGCCGGCAGCACCCTCGTGGCAACGGGCCGGTGGGAGTCCTCGTCGCTGCTGGTGGTGGTGGCCCTTTCCATCGTCCTGCAGCTCCTGCTGATGCGGGGRTACGACCGGCGCTTCGAACCGACCGCCGAGCTCGCGGCGGACCCGCAGCGGCCCGCCTTTGGCAGCAGCGGTGGCCRCAAAACCCGGCACTACGGGAGTGGTTGTGGCGACGAGGACGAGGACGACGACGATGCAATGTCCGTTGTTACGCTACAGGACGGGAACGCCACCCTCACAAAGCCCTTCTGGTCCGGGCTGTAYCTCGTCTTTTCGCACTCGTACGTCCTCTTGATCCTGGGGGTTTCCTGCCTCTACGAGGTGGCCATGACGCTCCTCGACTACCAGATGAAGCTCCTCGGCTTTGCCCGCTTCAGGGCCGACGGGGGAGGGGCCGCGAACCGATTGCTCGGGGGCACCATGTCCTTTTCGAAATTCATGGGCCACTACGGGCAGGTCGTCAACCTGACCAGCCTCTTGTTTTCTTCCCTGCTCTTCCCCTTTCTGATAAAGAGGCTCGGACTGCGGAGAACCCTCCTGTGGTTCCCGACCATGCTTTTGGTGGTGACCTTTCTGGCCTACGGAGCCATGCCGGGAAACCTTGCGGTCCTCTTTGTCTCCCTGAGCCTCCTCAAGGCCATGACCTACAGCATCCACGATCCCTCCAAGGAGCTCCTCTACATCCCCACCTCGAACGCCGTCAAGTTCCGGGCCAAGTTCTGGATCGACGTGGTCGGCGAGCGCATCTCGAAGGCCATCGGGTCCGCCTTTAACACCCTGGCCAGGGACGTYGAGGAGAGCCTCCGGATCGGGACCCTCCCCTGCCTGCTCACGGCCCTCGGCCTGTGGACGGCCTGCTACCTCGTCGGCCTGCGCTTCGACGAGCTCCTGGCGACGGGGAAGATCGTCGGGCTGGAGCACCCGATCGATCCCTCCACCTACTCGCGGGTCCCGGGGGAGCGGGACGGCGGCGACGACTGCGAGAGCGCCGGGGGGGCGGATGCCTTCTACGGCGGCCGCGGGTACGACTGCCGGCCCCGCGGCGGTTTCGGCGAGCTGGAGATCGCCTTTGTGGACGGGGACGACGAAGACGCCGTCAGCACGCTGGACCTGCTGGCGGACCCGGCCGCTCCGCGGGGTGGCGAGCCACTCGCGGTGCGCGGGATCGAGATGCCCTCGCTGTCGCGCCGGGTGTGACGCGGTGCAACCGCAACAAAGAAGAAAGAAAAAAAGAACCAATKGCCCGTCTTGATCCCTGTTGGTCCTAGTCGTTGCGAATCACCAAAAAATCTACAACGACAACACCAGAGCTAGCTTCTTTCCCGTTTGATAGACTCCTCAAGCTGGGCACAGAGCAATTATTATCGAAACCCGCCATCAATTTTTCAACGACGCCGCGTCTTCCGGATTCCGCMATAGAAAYCATCTGCCCAGCGGGGAGGGATACCGCTGCTCGCAGTGGCCACGGTCTACTCGCTCGCCCGCGGCACCAGGTGCATCGTCTTTCGAGCCCTCGCAATTCGTGCAAMCCCAAATCTGCATTWCCTCATACTAGATGCACTACTAGGATGAATTACAAGGTTTACGAGTATTTTCCCTGATAGTAGCGGTCACCAACGAGACTATGGAGTGGAATGTGGCTGTCGATCACATTCCAAGCWTGGAATGAAGTAGAGTAAAATTCCTAGACAGTGCAATGCTAAAAAAGCAGTGCAAACTGGATGCGAGAGAGACGATAGGAAATTGCACAACAAATAGATGGAATCAGCCGAAGCCGGTGGGGCGGTGGGATAGGCTGATCGTACTATTAGGATTATTCATACTAGTAGTAGTAATCGTAATAGCAGTGGCATAAGTATTATAAAAGCTTTACTAGTGGTAGTAGAAGTAGTAGTGGTAACGATTCTCATTCAAGAAACCAAGTTCTTGTAGGCAGTTTCTCCCACTATGATCATCAGGGAACAACCTAYCTGAAGTACAAAGAAATTTGAAATTTGGCTGCAAATCAAGGAAATACTCTACCTAATGGTGAAACCATTTTTCATTTTTCTCTTTTATTGCTACCGTACGACGAACGGACTTTTTAGAGCAGTACTGTAAGAAAAATGGCCAGGAGTCATTCTTGTAGGATCATACCGTACGGTACCGTACGTACCATGGGATACTCTTACGCGTAAGGTACGGTAGTASTGTATTGGAGCGATWATCATCTCTTTTTCCTTTTCCCGTGATAGTGTTCATTGCTCATACTCATACCCGTATACCGTATGTGAGGTACAATGTGTTCAGGTACGTACCGTACGTATTCGTAATCAATCAATGTTTAGTCGCGGAGGTTAAATTCCGCTGCATTGTTTTCACAAATATCAATTTCACTATTGATTGCGGTTAAAACACCGGTGACCAAGGTGTAATTRTCATCTTCAAATCGATCAGAATTTTTGATCCGATACAGGCATGCTTCCATGCCTCTACCGGCACTTGACAGAACCCGCATTCCTCTCCCAGGATGATGCGTTGCGAACTCCAATCAAAGTGCAAGTACGCACGACGAGACAGTTGTTCTCGTGACAGTTTGGTATCGGATTCCAACCGTATTTGCGTCAATTAAAAGTACTCGTACTACTTGAAAAAGAGCATTGAGTTGCGGAAATACGAGTAAACATCTCAAGTCTAACGTCAACAACTAATTCGAAAATGAGCCATACTTGTTTAGAATGGCTCTAATGTAGTCAGTAGATATTTTTTATTTTATATTGCTTGCATCTCTAGCAGAATCCAGTTTGCTAGTGTTGCCCCTAGCATTAGATACCCATAGCCGAAAAGACCACCGTCCCCAAACTAATGGTAATGATAGCGACCAGAAGTTGTAGGTAAAAGTCCGATTCGTCGCAAAAAGGGTCATAGTCGTGGCAATATTCGTCCACAAGATCGGTACAATCGATTTGTGTCGTTGCGGCTGTTTGCTCTCTATGATGGACTTCGTTCTTTGGTTCCACAATGGGGAGCTGCACATCGGATTTCTTGGCATCCTTGTTCGCACGTCTCTTCCGAGTCTTTAACGACCGTAGTGTTCGGTAGCGTCGATCGTCTTCGCTGTAAACGAACTTGAGGCTTCTTCTCGAGCGACGGGCTCGTTTCAGTGTTTTTAGTATCGTATCGTTACTCAGTAGGGAACCAATTCCCTCGAGAACCGCTCGCTCAGAACTTCCACGCACAGAGGCCACTAGCAATTCGTTCTCCCGAAATGCACAGTCCGTCAGTGTCTGGGAAGAAAACTCCTCAGTAGAGGTCTCGTTCTCACTCGTGGATTGCGGAGAAGCACAAATATTGACAAAGGCGTTGTCGACCGGGTTGCTTCGATAGAGGGTGACAAATTCGGAGGAGGAAAATATGGAATCGGTGCACATGCCCGGCAACTCACTCAAGAGCGCCTGTACCGTGACGCCTTTCTTCTCTTCGCAGTGGTAATATCCCACGTGGAGAAACTCAAACTTCTTCCGCTCGGGAAACAAGCAAAGAACTAGGAGCTCTGAGTGTTCTTGGCGCCTCCGATCGCATTCGTAGTGCCGAACGTTTTGGATGGGGAGTCCCACTTCGTCCGCAAACCGAATGCTTCGTTTCGAATGACACGAGTAAGCCGAGTCCTCGCTGCTGCTTTCTCCATCGTCGAACGAGCTCGAATGGCTGCTGATCTCGTCTTCGGACTCCGATACCGATACAGTTTCTTGTGTATCGAAAGACTCGTGGAGATTCTTCTTGTTGATGATCGAAGAAGGCATTTGGAAGGCCGATACGATGTTCGGAAGATCATTTGARGGAACAGCTGTACGTCTGATCTTCAGAGTTAAGCTGCAGGTGCTACTGCTGCTACCAATGACTGTGTCTTCGTTTTCTTTGTTTTCTTCGTCACAAATATTCGTTCGGTTGCGAAAGGGTGAAAGTTCACAAGGAGACTGAGGTATCTCGTCCACCGGCAAGTGTGATTTCGTGCACGGTCGCCCTCTCCTTCTGCTCCTTAGAGCAGTGGGGGGGGATAATACATGTGATGAGGACATATCGAACGGGTATGGCGTAAAAGTATGATGTATTTGACCTGATTTTGTTGGGAGTTTAACAGTCTCGATGGTTCAAGAACTTTTCTTTTTTATGTTTCTCTATCGATGTTCCGTAGCAATTATTCCCGGGCCTGTACGCACCACTATTGGCGTCGGGTATCTTTTGCCTCCAGTGCGTTGAACCTGTCGTTCATTAATCTGTGGTTCGAAAATGTTCGACTCTATCAAACATCATTTTCTCCAAGAAGATGAGAGAAGCAGAAGAATATATTCCTCTCATCCTACGAAGCTGTGGAAAACATACCGGTATTTTTGCAATGTAATATATTTTTAAACGAACTGGACATAATTAAATTTTTAGCACGGAGTGATGTTCTCAAATGTTGCCACGTCCGTTTCTGCAGTCGAGAAACCCTGGCCTTTAGCCAATGGAATGTGGCTTGTTGACGCGGAACAGATGATACCACAAAATACATCACGCGCCAAAACTTAGACGTACGATTTAAAATAATGTCCGCTCTCCAAGAACGAAGCACTTCGTACTCATATCGTGCTTGTGGTACTGAGTGTGCCGTTCTGTCCACGGGCACGGTTCCTTATTCCATACCGGAAGGTTCTACCGTCTGGATTGACGGAGCCTTTTGTTTTGAAAACTGTCGTACCAGGAAAGCGGGAAAGGAAGCCTGCCAAGCAGGCGGAACAAGATTCAAAATCTGTACAGCAGCTGCTTTTCGCCATAAGTCGAGCGCAGGTCGTCCGTTGGAATATTTAGCAGTTTGTTTCCATAACTTCCTCTCTATGCGATAGACAAGGACGGCTTCCCGCGCGGGGACGCGCATTTGCTGTGCGTTTGGTCAGTTTTTCTATCGAATTGGGCGGGGGGACATGAGAAAGCACATTTTTCGGCGTTAACTACTACTACGACGTACGAGCACGAAACTGCTCGTGCTCGTATGATGTTGATATCATCTGATACAGTGGAATAGTAGGAACTTGGGTATGTACCGGCCGGTATGATACCTTCTTTTTTCATACATACAGTGTGAGCCTAAATCACGAGTAGATAGTGAATAAGCTCACTCTTTATTGTAAACCAAAAATTGAGACTAGAAGGTCTATTTTTGGTCTGTCTGTCTGTCAAAAAGAAGACCATCTAGATTAACGGGAATCRCCCATTATTGTACACTAGTAAGGAGCCTATCAACATTTTACAGGTTATGAGCCGGGTATGGCAAGATTACTTTTTGTCTGTCAGTCATTGGGCGGGATCTATCAATGGGGCAGTACCTACGTGCAGACATAACATACTCTGGCTCGAAAGAACTACAAGGGTAAGTTGTGAAACACTGCAGATAGCCATAAACGAATTGCTCAGTCTAACAATTTGTTTCCCTTGTCCTGGATATGGGTACTAGATGAAAAAAATGGTTTAGTTCTGGCTACTTTCACAGTAAAATGTTTCATAACAGAGTGCAAAGAAGATGGTGGGCGGTTTGCCATTCCTCATAAATACAAAAGAAACACCAACAACACACCAGAGTTTGAGTTTTTTGTGAGATGGATATTAGTAGGTGCAGTATCACCAAAACAAAACAATTTCAAGAGGAGAAGACACAAGAACACAGTGAGCAAAATATTCAGCACGACAGACAAAGTGTTMGCACTCCTGGTGTTCTTTGTTCAGCAACTATGATGAGTCTTGGAATAATTCAGGAAAGGAAAAGAAAACCTGAAAACAATTCACCAACAATAGGATTGGAAGCAAGGAAGAAACAGTGTAAAACAATAAAGTTAAGGGAATGAGATGCAAKCTTAAATGCATTTGACATGCGACTAAATTGAAAATACAGTGCTGACACCTTTGACTTCCACTGCCACCAAAGCAGACCAATTCTTGGTGTTGCAAGGAGGAAAAATTGTATGAACCCCAGAAAAGAGCGTGAAATTTGTCCTGAGAAATGTAGGATGTGAGAACATCATGTTCCAGTGAAAAGGAGTTCCGTATGGTCCACACRGGAAACTGGAAACACCTTTATATCAGTTTGTGTGATGTAAGTGTTGGAAAAACTTCTTATACTACCACCACTAGCACTGTACTATTACTACTACTACTATTGGTAGTACAAATTTCTTAAAAGCTGCACGCTAGTAGTAGTAGTACTTCCTTGTGGKGGGGGGAACYTCCTGCTGCAATTAGTATGCCTCCTCATTCAAGGATAAGAGTTAGCATGAAATACGACTATTCACTATTGGTAAGGCAGAAATCATGATTCTATATGCATCATAGTTACGTTCCAGTAAGATTGAGAGATACGGGCCTTTGCAACCCAACTCTCAGCATTCGTCCTCAGTACACTTAGTCGCAACCACAGAATTGCCCATGATGAGGCACCGTCACGTATTTCATAACCTATCATTATTGATTTCGTTGATCTTTGTGCGACAATTGCTTTGCGCCCCTCGCCTTCTTCTTGTCCCGTTTCCATCCCCGATCTAGACGCGACAAGTGAGCGAGATTGTCACTTCGAAATCGTTCGTAGATCACTCTCTGGTGTTCCTCGAGTGAACAAGTTTTGCTACCGCCGTGGTCATTCCCGGCAGAGTCCTTGAGAAGTGCGAGYTGCCACCCGCTCTTCCCGCATCGAATATGCGGTATCGAGATTTTTATGGTAGAGAGATGGTCGTTGTGGTCCATCGCCACATCGATCAAGTCGGGCCACAGCCGGTGCGTGGTCTCCGTAAAGAAAAAAAGACTCCCGTCCGACGCTTCCGAGAACAACTGCCGAAAGAACTCGTACTTGTTGGTTCGCAACCCGACAGCATTTTCTGCTACCACATACGAGCACGAAAACATATGGGTCGATCCAACTACCGATGCAAGGGCTTCGTTTGAAGACGAATCCAGCGGGCGCGTAATGTCGCAAGATTCGAACCCACACCGGTGTGCATGCGAGACGGCGCGGTTGTCTTTGGAGGCAACCACGTCTTGAACAACACTTTCGACATCCCCAAGAACGTCCTTCCAGGCTGGTTCGTACTCGAATACGGTGGCTGCAATCTTTGGTCCTTTCAGAAACTCGCTCAGTGCCGACATGGCCACAAAATCGTATCCGCAGCCCCCACCGAGGCTCGCCAGGGCGATTTCACTTCCCCCCTTCAGAGAAGAAGAGCAAYGAGGATCATCGGCTCGATTGCTCASCTCGTCTGAGAAGATCTGCGAGACCCTAGTCGCCAGCCAATCGGGTTCGGTTTGCGCCACCAACTGCGAAAGAAGACGGACTCTTCCGAAATGGCCGAGGGTGTACCCCCGCAAAGCCCGTGGATTCGAAAAATCCGGCATGATCCCCCGATCGGCTCCGATCCCCCCAAGACTGGCGGTCAGCTTCCTCGTTGCCTCACACGAGTTGTTCGAGTACCGATCGCTACCATAGAGTTCGCCTTTGTTGTGGAGAAGACCCGCTCGGACAGCCTCGCAAAAGATGGCAACGTGGCGCCGCAAGAGTTTTGARTGGTGCTTCGAACCTCGAATCTTGAAGGACGCTTGGTCCACCAAAGATGAGGCATCCCTTTTCAGTTTGGCGTACCCATGATCTTGTCCCGACGACGCAAAAGGCGAAGAGGAAAAGGCCGACACCCAGCTGTCGGAACGGCCCCTCTTTCGACGGCGGCAAAGACACAAGGGAACCGATGCTGGTGGAAAACTTTCACTAAAAATCGTCCTGCGAKTKTGCCATGTACGTAAAGTGTTTTGTCCACCGAGAATTGTTCGRGCCACGGATGGCCTTATGCCGCTGGTCATCTTCGAGCGGACGACGACGGCGATTTCTTCATCACTGTATTCTATTTTCTATTGGGATTTTTCACGCCTCTACGGCGCGRTCCATACTGCCCTGTACTACCGATGTCTTTTCCTCGGACTCGCTCGCCACAGCGTGGTGATTGTTGCCCATCAATAAAAAAAATGGACGAGACATCTTATTCGCATTCGGGTTTCGAGTACATTCACGATTGACTTTTGCGTCACCSGTCCGCGCGCTGCTACCGGAGGCAAGTCCGTGAGAGTGTTCCATGCATCTGTCGAACACACGCGCGTAAGAGGGCGCGAGGCCATAGGACATGCAATGTACGGACCTCATTGGTTTGTTGTGCAACGTGGCGGCCTACGGAACCTTAAACTACCGTTCCAAATTGAACTGCACGAAGATTCTCATTGGTTCGTACACCAATACGCTGTATGGTACGGTGCGACACTGTAGCCGGGTTGCATTCCCGGTGTGATCTTTGTTGACACCTTTCGTGATCCAGTTGCGTCTCCGCCGATTATTTCCGTSGATATCTATCGGCTTTCAGGTCATTCAACTTTGATTCTTTGACACCCCGCATTGGGATTCTTACCGTGCCTTCGTGCTGCGTCATAAATTTGTTTTCTTTCAGTTTGTCTGAAATAAATTAAGAAGTAAAATCACCATGTCGTTACTCGTAAGTTTTGAAGTTGTCAGATAGGATTCAGATACCGGGAGTAACAGATATGGTCGAGCATGTCTTGGAATGGGAGCTTGCCACCAATGCTTTATTTCAAAACGACTAGAGTTTTGTGTTGTTGACACGACGATGGAKGKTCCGATGTTGTGTTGAATGCAGTGCAATGGAGTGGCGGTAGTCACGAACCGAACGGCCGCCTTATTGGATAGGGCGCGAAGTCGGATCCACGAAACCATYTTCTCACCGCTTTCATTTTCTTCACATGCGTTCAATTCACTTGACATACGTACTGTTATCAAATAATRCGCTTCGAAAACACAATTGATATAGACTGGGGCATCGGGCCTCATTTTTGGCTCGGCCGTTGTTGCCTTGCTCTGGGGTTACCTCCAATTTAAGATCATTGCTGCCATCCCCGTAAAATCCTCTTCTGGATCCGGAGAAGAAGAGGGGCTCGCAGATCAAACCGACCACGTCACAGCGACCCAGCGCTTGAACGAAATTTACGAGGCCATTTATGAGGGTGCCGAGTCCTTCCTCAAGGCTGAGTACTCGGTCTGCTTCTGGTTCGTTGTCAGTTTCTCCGTGCTCATCTTCATCTTGGTTTCCTGGGGAACCGGATGGGACATGTCGCGCGGTAGCTTTACCGCCATTTCCTTCTTGCTCGGTGCCTTTACTTCGATGGCATCCGGATACCTAGGAATGAAGGTTGCCGTTTTCTCAAACGTTCGCACCACCGTCTCGGCGCAAAAAGCCGGATGGACCGAATGCTTTAACACCGCATTCCGAGCTGGAGCCGTCATGGGATTCGCCCTCTGCGGTATGGGAATCTTTATGCTCTACGGAACCGCGCTACTCTTCAAATCGCACTACCCCGATGCCAAAGAATGGATCTTGCTCACCGAATCTCTCACCGGATACGGATTGGGAGGATCCGTCATTGCCATGTTCGGGCGTGTTGGAGGAGGAATCTACACCAAGGCCGCCGACGTTGGTGCCGATTTGGTTGGAAAGGTTGTTCACGGAATCCCCGAGGACGATCCGCGCAACCCCGCCACCATTGCCGATAATGTTGGTGACAACGTCGGAGATGTCGCTGGTATGGGATCCGATTTGTTTGGATCCTTCGCTGAATCCACCTGTGCTGCCTTGGTCATTGGAAGCAGCATTGGTTTGTCTGGAGGATGGGATGCCATGGTCTTCCCCATCATTGTCTCGGCTGTCGGAATCTTTGTCTGCTTGGTGTGCTCCTTTATCGCTACTCACATCTGGACCGTCAAGCAAGAATCCGATGTCGAACGCGCCCTCAAGGTCCAGCTCATCAGTACCACCATTGTTATGGTTCCCGCTGTTTACTACGCCGCCATGAATTACCTTCCTGCCTCCTTTGAATTGCATGCCACTGTTGGAGATGCCGTCTTGACCCTCACTCCTTTGGATGCTACAATCTGTGTTGCTATGGGAGCCGTCGGAGGACTGACCATTGGTTTGATCACCGAATACTACACGTCTCACTCGTACGCACMCGTCCGTGAATTGGCCAACTCGTGCAAGACAGGAGCTGCTACCAATATGATCTACGGTATTGCCTTGGGATTCAAGTCCGCCATCATCCCCGTTGTTGTCTTGGCCCTTGTTGTCTACTTCTCGTTCGACATTTGTGACATGTATGGTGTCGCCTTGGCCGCCATCGGGTTCTTGTCCAATCTTGCAACCGGTTTGACCATTGATGTCTACGGACCCGTTTGTGACAATGCCGGAGGTAAGTTTTCCAATAGCTTGGAAACCAAAGAATTTCTTTTARAATCCTTTTTCGCTAACGCATTCCTAAACCATGTGACTGTATTTCTTTTGAAAAAAAATTTCAGGTATTGCTGAAATGGCCGAACTTCACCCAAGTGTTCGCGAAAAGACCGATGCTTTGGACGCTGCCGGAAATACAACTGCCGCCATCGGAAAGGGATTCGCAATTGGTTCTGCCGCGTTGGTTTCTCTTGCGCTTTTCGGAGCCTTTGTTACCCGCATCCGAGATTCTTCCGGTCAAACTCTGTTCACCGACGGTGTCAACATGCTCGAACCCGTTACCTTTTCTTTCTTGATTATTGGAGGAATGATTCCTTTTGCCTTTGCTGCTCTCACCATGAAGTCTGTCGGTATGGCTGCCATGGAGATGGTTATGGAAGTCCAGCGTCAATTCGACGAAAAGCCTCACTTGTTGGACGAAAACCCATCCGAACGTCCCGACTACGATGCCTGTATCGCTATTTCCACCCAGGCTTCCCTCAAGGAGATGGTTGCTCCTGGTGCTATGGTCATCTTCACTCCGCTTGTGACGGGTATCTTGTTCGGAGTCACCGCCGTTTCTGGACTTCTGGTAGGAGCCTTGGTCGCCTCGATCCAGCTTGCCATTTCCATGTCCAACTCTGGAGGTGCTTGGGAYAACGCCAAGAAATACATCGAAAAGCAATCTGCCGACTCCGAGCTCAAGGGCAAGGGATCTGATATCCACAAGGCCGCTGTCGTCGGAGATACCGTTGGGGATCCGTTCAAGGATACCTCTGGACCTGCCCTGAACATTGTCATGAAGCTCATGGCTGTCCTTTCCCTTGTATTTGCYGATACTTTCTATGCTATCAACAATGGAACCGGATTGCTCCAGCTTTCCTAAACAGTTTGTACTYGGTTTATTGATCGGTTCGTGTTGCATCCATCTCAATGGCTTTCAAACTTTTCAAATCATTGACTCTTTGTTCTATTTAGTTAGGTGAAATTAATGCATARCATTGATTAGCTCTAAATCTATATTGTTTCKAGTGAATCATTGCTACGCATTGTTCTAGTATGTTATGAAGAATGGATGAGCTTGAAAAGCCAAGTCATATCCATTCAACCATAGCACAAGACGCAGCAACYGTTTTCTCTCTAGCGCTCATGAGGAGTACGTAGTGGTACAATTACTACTAGCAGCACTACCAAATTCTATGAGGGGAATATTAGGATTTGTAGTACCCAAGGTTTTTTGGTAGGGTTGTCTAATGCTGACATATTAGTGTAAGTAGTAGTCATGCTAACAGATGAAGGAAATGTACTAGTAGTACTAGTTAACAAGGGTTAAAAGCACCACTTTGAGAAAATGTAMAAAGCATTGTTACTACTTGTACTAGTAGTAGTTCTAGTAGTAGCAAGGAGATATTTCCTGAGTATTAAGTTCCAATGACCACCAGCAGCAGAGCTAAACACATTGAAACCAATACATGTAACCCCACTCAATTATTATAATTGCAAACCTAGTACTACTGTGGTTGTAAGAACTAATGTTGAAATATCATTGCTAATGTATACCAACAACAACAACTASTAGTAGTACTAGGAGGCACTACTAGTCTACTACTACTGCTAGAAGTACTAGCAGTAGTACAATATGTCTACTATACATTTCCTACTATGCATCCTTCACTACATGATTCTTCATTAGCTGAATGTGTTGTGCTTCACCTTAGAAATGTACGTAAAACACCTTTTATATACTATCAAATTTACCAGTAGTAGTAAGCCTTCTTAAATATTGACAAGAAATATTAAGAAAGGTAGTATTTGTTCTCAAGACTTTCCTTGTCACCATGATTCTTCCCATCTGTTTTGGCGAAGAAGAACTTAATTCGTGCAAATTGACCTACTCCTAAAACTAGTACTAGTAGTAAGAGTAAATCTGTGGGTTCCAAACAAGTGAAGAAATTTGCTGCTGAAATGAGTCTCCTGCTGGAATCACAATAACAAGAAAAGTGGCTGAAGTGGCCTTTACAGGAAGATAGATTTTGGCCAACCTAGCAAGAATTARGAAAGTTTCCTGATATTTGATATTCCTCTACTAGCAGTTCAAGTCATGTAATAGTATTAAATGCATCTCCCCTCAGTCTACTACTAGCACTTGTACTGGTAGCAGCAGGAGCAACAAACTAACAAAAAACAACATCAAAGTACAAAGTAGCTGGTGGTCACAAAGGCAATATCCTACATTATTGCACTCATCACCAACACAAGATCCTAAGGGGTCTGGCAGGTTACAGCCCTTACCATCAATAGCCCCTAACAGATTGTTGTATGCTTGATGTCACCAGGATTAGTGCTGCTAGTACTACAGATCCAAGAAAACCTAGTTGGTGGTTATCAGCACTGGAACAAGTTCTAGTACTGAACCCTATTGGTTGCTGGTACTAGCTAGTACTAGTAGCACTACTTGTACAATCCAGTAGCTTCTAGTAGTACTTGTACATTACATCTGAAAAAAAACTTCTCAGTGGTACAGGAAGTCAAGTTGACTACTAGAATGATTCCTGGTGGTGGTGGTACTAGCCCTCCTCTTCTTCCCTGCTGAATGAAAAARGTAATAAGGTATATTACTTGTTGCACCAAAATGACTTATTTCTCACAGGGATAATAGTAGTGTGACTTGCACCATTGTTAGAAGGAGAAGATAGAGGCCTGTAATAGCTAGTACTGAGATATTTCACCTTTGATAGCATACTTTTTGTCTACAGGAAGTCAATTTCAATGAAGCATATTTTGTTCCCATTCCTGCCTCTCACCTGTTCTTGATAGCAGCAACCACAATGATGAATAACTACTAGTAGTAGTCATCAACAAGACTCAAGTAAATCAGCCATTTCAAAATCTAAGAGAAGCTAAATCCTTCCAAATACTCCAAAATTCAGTCTTTATTGTGATCAGTCATTCTGGCTTTCAAAAGAACCCAACAACTATATATGACCAACAACTTTGGCTACTATTATGCTATGACATGCATGATGTACCCACTGATACAACCTTGTTGTTGGGCAAGTTTGAATCCTACAGGAAATACTGCCAGTTCCTATCCAAGAAGTTGGGGAGCAGCAACACAGAGCATAGCAATGTCAACTCATACATTGGCAGCCTCTACAACATTATTTAGCATGCAAATGAGACCATTATCATGATTGGTTGTTCCAAAATCAAACTGGTTATTTCTACATGCCTAAAAGAGAATCCCATTCTTCCCAAGGCTTCATAAATTAATTCATCAGCCACCATACAACAATAAGAAAGAAGTGGGAAATACTGCAAGACCAGAAGCTAGCCAAAAAATCATAGGATCATTTCATCATGTTAATGTTACTAGTATTTTTTAAGAAAAAAATGGTCATCTGAACTAGTAGTAGCAGAGTCATTACTGGTGGGAAAGCTATTAGAACCATTGCTTCTTGCAGGGAGAAGGTTGCTTCTGCTACTACTAGTACTACTAGTTGTTGTGAGGGATAGGACTCCTGGTGGAGGAGCATGAGCAGGGCAGAGCAGATGTACTAAGGTGTGCTTGAATTATTCAATGTATTAATTTGTCTCTTTTTGGAGTATGATGTATCAAAGACCAGCAAATCTTGAGCAATGTTCTCTTGTGTTTGTTTGCAATTAGTACTAGTCAACAGAGGGAGGAGGAAGGAATACTGAGAAATCAGATTGTTAATATTGGTAGTGAAAATAGTATAAGCATCTTGAATGTTCCTTCAATTTTTTCATAAGCTCTGATATAGTAGTATTACTAGTACTAGTACTAATATGAGAATGAAGTGTTGGTGGGCATTGGATAGGAAAGATTTTGGGCAGGGGGGGAACATAGTGGTTTCCAATGGAAAAGGTTTGGGTGAAGAGAGAGAAATTATCTGACTCTAAGTAATCTGATTCTCTTTGGTAACCATGCTTTGTGTATGGCTTGCTTTTGGAACACTATGGTCATTAAACAAGGAGGCTCCTTAACCACAGAATATGAACCTGAATTGAGATCTGGATCTGCTGAGATCAAATGCTGGTGAGAAATGTGGTTCATAAAAAGATCCTGGTACTAACTGATATTGGTCTGATACTGGTACTAGTATTGTTTTGCCAATTGAGACTGTTGGAGTGTTTTTCTGGAGTACCACACCTACTAGCGTCCAACCATTCTGCAACACAGCTGATCAAGGTTTCAGCTGTGAGAATACTAGATATGAATCAAATAACTGACATTGCTTTTCTGAAAGATAAGAACAAGATAGTATTCCAATTCCAGGAAAGTCAACTGTTATGAGAATAGTGGAGGATATGGACATTACTGTCCTTTTCATCAGTATCAGACATTTGCATGAAAGCATACTGCTGAAGTCAAGAACATCAACAAAGTAAAGCAAGAAGACAGCAGTTCTATTGATCATTAAAGAGAAGGAAAACAACTCCAAGGGAAGATCGGTAATTGCTGCAACAAGCACATGTAAGATCTCAGGGGTAACCACCATGAACAATGAGGGAGAGCTGTTTCTCTGTTTTCTATCATGGGGTGTTTGTACTAGACAATAAGAAGTAATTCATTCTGGCAATTGGTATTATAGTAGTACTAGTAGTACTAGTAGTACTACTACTAAATTCTCTTCAGACTGGTACATTTCCTCCTCCTTCTTGTTGTTCTTGGCACCACCAGCCACTCACTTCTTTGTTTTTGCACTGTAGAAACTACCTGTGTTAGTGATCCAATCTTTGGAGAGGAATAGTTATATTTCTTGAACTCCAAAACAAACCACATTTTTTTATATGATGAATCTTGGGGGACCTTCTTTGTGATGTTTTGCCCTCAACCCTTAATACTTCCCCCTTTCCACTCATTTTCTTTTCGACCTGTACCGTACTGACTGTTTGCGTACGTACATTTTGTACGCACATCGACTTCCATTCATCTGTCACGAAAATCATTCTTCATCCATCAAAAGCAACCCAAAACACAGACTTGGAATACTTGTCGTAGTAATTCGAAATAATAGCTTCCTCGACCCCTCTTGCCGATCAGATCGTACATTCATCGTCTGGCAATTCAATTCCATCAAAAATCACTTCGGAAGTCATTCGGAAGAGMATCAAGAACGAGGCAGGATATTTTTCTCGCTGATCGTGTCTCGCTTGCATTCAGTGTTCTGTGAAAATTTTTCATTGTTGTCAAAACGATTTGTTACTCCGAACGAACTTGAGCATGGTGGATCTGAGATACAAACGGAACGACAGAATGTTGTTCTCTTACTTCAACCCGGTAATCTCCGTGATCCTTATGCTCCAAGCTGTAGCTGTTTCATCGTGGTCCACTGATCGATTTCATCGCCATTGCCCAGCGATTTCTCCTACGAATTCAGAAGAACCGTCTGTTGCTTCGAATAAAGCTTTCGGGAAAAGCTCGCGACGGCGGCAACTTGCATCCCGACACAACTTTCTTTCTTCCACAGTGCTGTTTGTTTCTGCTATGGAAGGTACCGACGCAACTGCTACCACGACCGAACTCGTCGTTGAAGCCTATTCCGGACTGAATGACGAAGAATTCTCGGTGCTCGTTAAGGCAGTCGAAGAGGCGTATTCCGAGACCGTGGGCCTCGATTCGGTTTCTTGCGACACGACGATGGTTTCCAGCAGCGGTTGCGATATCGRRRCCGGTGGTCTTTTGGTAGGATGCTTGGGGAGGGTTCTATCGGTGCGGACGAATCTAGACGACGAAAGTGCAGACGACCTGCGAGCCTTGATTGCATTTCAAATGGACCGTCTCATATACGAGTCGGGAGACCTGCGACAACCAGTGCTCGTTTCAGTTCAAACTTCTAGCAGTGAAGAGACGGTTACTTCTGGAAATGATGGTACAAGTGTCATCATTGAGAATGAAATCGAACAATATGGGTTGCGGATACCCGTTTATGGCAACAAGGATKACAAGAGCCSAAAAGAGACGACAAYWTTGTTTACTCCAAGTCTGAGGATAGCAATCGACGGCGCCGAAACACAAGTCGAAGATTCCGGAGAAAYGTTTTGGGACACTAGCTCGGTAGTTGTCTTTGATGATCTGGTCAACAATGACCTGAGGAGGCGGCTATTAGAGGTTGTCAAGGGGAAGAAATYTTCGAGCGATGATTGGAACGACGTCGAAAATGGTCCCGATCCACACCGGTGGATTCKAGGGGGRCTGCAAGAYGTCCCTGATGACGTAAACGATGGAGATAGCGAGGAAGGAGAGGTTTCGTCTTGTTGGGGACTACCGGAAGAGGCAATCGAAGAGATCTGTTTCAAAGAACACGGAGCGATACAGGAATTCGAATCAATCCTCACGGATCTCTTTCCGCAATTTGTTGTGTCGCGATTGCCGGAGGCCGTGTACGGCGAATGCGTATCTCCCCTTACGGCAAACGCACCCGTTGCAGGGGAGGACGGTCTCTACGATTATCACATCGATGGAGATCCATTGCAGACTCCACCGTCTCCGTGGACCGACGTATACGGTCGTTATCCGAACCGATCCCCGGGGAAACCTCGATTCGTGAGCTGCCTCGTCTATCTCAGCGAGGAATGGGATGGATCGAAGTGGGGCGCCCCCACAAAATTTTATGATCCACCCACGKGGGATGCGTACGAAGTTACACCCTCACCCGGTCGTTGCGTCATCATGGACCAAGATCTAGGCCACACAGTGGTCCCACCCCACGATGCGGCGGGGAAACGTCCTAGATACTCCTTGGTATGGAAACTCATCTTGCACCCCAAAACAGAGAACCAGGACATGGACTTGTCACCTCCCYTGTCAGGCAGAAATCAGTGGCCAGAGCCTGTCTTGTTTGGGAGTGCGGCGACGAGCCATCCATAAYTTTCTCKATGGCCTTGCAGTATCATTTTTGAAGCACAGGGATTCTATATCATASCAAATGAGAGTCTAAAACCGAAACGCACACAAAAGCATAGAATTCTCAAGAACCAAAATAATCAATTGATTTGCCTGTTCAAAAATAGAAGTATCTCGCTTTTGTTCAGGTTGACAGTTCGAACCATGCAACGCTGGTGGTCAATGCAAAAGAAGACACTTATAATTAAAAAAATGTGGTCTAAAATCTATGTCTTACGAATCAACGAAGAAGCCGCATGCTCAGTAGAACAAAAGCAATATTGGCAGCTGTATGAAATGAAATGATGCATTTCTCAGTCTCGTCCTCATCCCATGTCAATGTTCTCGTATTTAAAAAAACAATCTCATAAATTTCGATGCGAAATTGTTGGGTTCGTCTTCTGTCCTTTCATCATCGTTGCTAGCATCGGTATCCGTATCACTACCATATCCCATGCGGGATGCATCATCAGATTGTGCATCGACGTCATCCACCAAATCATCTACGATAGATTTAGACCAGTCCGTAAAGGCAGATTGGATTGCTGGTAGTTTCAGATCTTCTTCTGCATCATATTGACGATCAGACCCGACCTCATCTAGATCGAGTAGATCTTTCCATTCGACTTCTACTGAGGAATCGACGTCGGAGTCTAGGTTTTTGTGAACTGAGTCATCTACGATCGCTAGGGAACCATTCTCATACCCTACTTGGGAATATTCACTATCCGAGGCTGACTCGAAGTCACCGATGTCATCTGCAAGGTCGTCAACAATTGTTCGTTGATTCCAACGTGGAAGTGTATCATGGCTGACATTACTCTCATCACCAGAATCAATTGGGATGTTTGAAGTAACTTTCTCTTCTACGTCAATTGACGAGCATCGTACGTCGCGAGTTGCGTCATGCAAAAGCCCATCATCAGCAGAAAAACTTTCTTCTTTGCCATTGAAACTTTCAGTTTGAGAATCATTCGTACAAAGAGATTTATTGGCTTCATTTTCGGGTTTCTCTAACTCTTCGCCGGCTTCTTCAGTCGTTTTTGAAATATTTTCTGATAATGGTTGCTGTACTGGTACAAATTCATCACCATGACTGTCTGTTTGAAATGCATTATACATGGTGTCGGTTCTTTCTTTCATAGCGGGAATTTCAAGATCCATTTGAACASTTGAGTGGCGGTCTCGACCAGGCCTYAACCTTTCGCTGACGCTCAATCCCACTTCGTYGCGTTTTCCCGTCACATCTGGTCTCCGTTCCACAAGTATTTGTTTTTCAGTTACAATTTTATCGTCCTTATTTACGACCCCGTGGCGATCATGACCAGGACTAGAAATTTTCCCAACTTTTAACACAGGTTCCTCTTGTTTTACTGCTACTCCCAGTCTATCTTCTAGTTTTCTTTGTTTTTTGGCGATACCTTCAAGGTAGTTTTTGGCAGTTTTGTGGTGGTCTCGACCAGTGCTAAAGTGTTTTCCGACGTGAAACAAAGGTTCTTCTTTCTTAGCAATGCCTTTAAGATACTTTTTCATAGTTAAGTGGCGGTCTCGACCAGTACTAAAGGTGTTGCCGACATCGAATTCACGTTCGTCTCGTTTCTCTGCTGATTCTAGTCCATTTTCAAAAGTTTTTTGTTTCTTAGCAATTTGATTCAGTTGATTCATTCGCTCCCTTAAYATCCCAACCTTCGGCTTATTCTCTTCCCTTACTTGTGACTGCTGCCAAGATCTTTTCTTCGCAACTTTGGCAGCCAACGCCAGTAGTCTTTCTTCTGTCGCACTTTTACTAGGTCTCAGTTTACTGGACCCCCCATACAGTTTAGTGCTGTTAGTAGCTTCGTTGAGTACTCGTTTCTCCAGGTGAAACACTTTTTCAGCAACAGTGGCTTCGCTACCAGCTGAATGATCCTCTTGAACAACAAGAGGAGGTAACGAACTCTCCAAATCTGCCACAGGTCGAGTATGTGTCGATTGTTTGGCCGTAAAATAGTTAGATCGAGCGATAAACATTCTTGCTGCCGATTGGATTGTAGTCGCAGATTTTAAGGTAGAAAGATATTTTTTTCGACACCCATATACCCTGAAGACGGTTTGTAGCGTTACGATAGCGTTGTAACCAATCTGATAAGCACGGTATTTTTTTCGAGATAGATGCATTCTCACTACGGCTTGAATCACCACGGATGCCTTGTGCTGATTAAATTTTGTTCGGCATAAGTACATTCTTGCTAGAGACTCGATTACGACTGCTGCTTTTTCGGACAATAACATAGCACAACTCTGGTATGCAAGGTATATTTTCCGATATCGATACATTCTTGCTGCGGCTTGAATCACCACTGATGCCTTGTGTTGATAAAATTTTGTTCGGCACAAATACATTCTTGCTAGAGACTCGATCAAAACTGCTGCTCTTTCGGACAACAGCACAGCATATTCTTTCCGACAAGCAAAAGACCGATAGCTTGACTGCAGCTTTGTTGCTGCAGRCATCAACCGAGAATAATATTTTTTCCTTCTCATGTAGAATCTCCATCTTGACTGGATACATTTCGCTGAAGTCAGGAGCACAATATAACTTTTTCTTTGAAAGTAACATCTCCATCTTGATTGAATATGTTTCACGGATGCCAATTCTGCAACATAGTTCTGCCGACAACAGTGACCTCTCCAGTATGCTTGTACTCGTCTCGTCGACCCAAGCATACAACTATATATCCTTTTCGAAGCAAAAACTCTCCATTGCGTTTGTATGCGTACAATACATTCTCTTTCAGCAGCATATTTATGTTCACAAATATTCCTCCTCAAACTGGCTTGGAGACGAGTTGCCAGCAAAACGGAAGATAGATATTGCTTTCGACATTTGGCGGACCTCCATTTCGACTGGATAAGCCTTGCTGATATTCTCTGGATGGAATGGTTGTCGCGACATACACAAGCTCTCCATATTGCTTGAATACATATAACTGATGTCAGCACACGCTTGTACTCCCTTTTAGCTATCAAACTCCTATAGCTTGTTTGAATAGACGTTAKCGATGCTAGGGAGAGCTTGTATTGCTTTCTAACTGTAAACGCTCTCCAATTTGCTTGCACACGCGTTATTGATGAAAGGACTGTCTTGTATTCTCTCCTCGCAGCAAATGACCTCCACGTTGACTGAATAGCCGTCAAAGATGATCTGGAAAGATTATATTCGCGTCTTGCATTGAACATCCTCCAAACTTTTTCGATGGACGTCGCTGAATTTTTGGCAAGACGATATTGTTTTCTAACAGCAAAAACTCTATAGCACGCTTGAATAGACTTCACGGATGCTATGGTAGAATGAAACTCGTTTCTCGCAGTGTATGCCCTCCAGGTTCCTTGTATGGTTCTCACAGATGATTTCGAGAGGATGTAATCCTGTCTAGCAGCAAACGACCTCCAGGTGGCTTGGATAAATGTCACTGACTTTCGGACAGAATTGTATCTCTTTCTCGTTGTATATGACCTCCAATTTCGTTGAAGTGATGTCGTTGACTTTATGACACTACGGTAAGTTTTTCTGGCAAGAAAAGTTCTATAGCGCGCTTGTATCGTTTTTGTTGACGCTAGGACAAATCTGTATTGCTTTCTAGCAAGTGATGCTCGGTAGCTTGCTTGAAGAGACGTAATCAGTGCAAGGAAAGATTTATACTCCTTCATAGCGGCAAACCTTCTAAAGTTCGCTTGGATGGACGTTGATRATTGTTGGACAAGCTTGTACTCCTTTCTCGCAGCAAAATACCTCCAGGTTGATTGAATGAATATCGCAGATGATCTCGCAAGATAAAATTCCTTTCTTGCGGCATGAGCCCTCCAGTATGATTGAACTAATGTCGCCGATGCTTTAGCAAGATCAAATTTCTTTCTAGCAACGAAAGCTCTCCATTGCGCCTGAACTGATGTCGCCGATGATCTAGCAAATTTATAGACCTTTCTAGCAGCAAATGCCCGACAATTTGCTTGAATGGCTATCGAAGATGCTAAAGCATTATGAAATTGCTTTCTAGCATCGAATGACCTCCAGCTTCTTTGAATATATGTAGCTGAAGATCTGGCTAGAATATATTTCTGTCTCGCCACAAACGACCTCAAGCTTGTTTGAATTATGGTGACCGATGACAGGGAGCGGCAGTACTTTTGTCTCGCTGCGAATGCCCTCCAACTTGATTGAATCGARATTGAGGAAGATTTGGCTGCATAAAACTGCCTCTGAACAACAAACATCTTCCAGGTTGTTTGAATGCGCGTTGCGGATAACAAGACAAGCCCAAATCGTTTCTGGATTGAAAAAGATCTCCATTTAGTCTGGATGAGCCTCGTCGATAATTGGTAGCACAAGTATTGTTTTCGACAGGAAAAAGCCCTCCAAGTTGCCTGGATGTTCGTTGCGGATCCAACGCGTCTGCAAAATCGCTTCCGTCTGAGAAATGCTTTGAATCCAGCTTGAACACTTGTTGCAGAATGACGCAGAAGATGATACTGTTGTTGTGCAGCAAAACATCTCCATGTTGCTTGTATGGATGCTGCTGATGCTTG